ATTTCTCTTGAAGGCTCTTATAGTGGGCATGAACTATCTTGCTTGCTCGAATGCTGGTTGTATTAAACGGGACAACAAAGGGTGCTATGCCTACATTATGATGAATATTTAGTCCTATAGGTCTTGCTGTATTCAATGTCTCAATCCAATGGGCCTCCCTAGATTGACGGAATTTGGTAGTTTCATCTTCGGGCAAGTCAATTTCTATACGCTAAATTGGGATTAGGGTGAAATCGTCTATTGAATGGTCGTCGAGGTTGAAATGATTAGAAACAGGCTTGTCTTTCTTTAATTTGATGTCTGACCTGTGAGCATTAAAGCGAGTTCGTAAATTATTCTTAGTTTCTCCTACATATTGTTTGGGGCATTTCTTGCATGAAATTAAATATATTACATTCGAATGTTCACATGTTAGATGTTCTTTGATCGGGTACCTTTTATTCGTAGAGTTGCTTACAAAATAATGAGTTTCTGATATAAAGGGACATGTTTTGCATCTACTGGACAAACATGGAGCACTTCTTAAACCTGGAGGTACTTCGGCATAAAGTCTGTTTTTAGCTGCTATCTGTGCTAAGGTGGAACTTTTTATGTTTCGTAAAAATCGTCTAGAGTACCCACGCTCTTTCAGTTTTGAGAAAACAATCGTACAGGCTTGGTTGAAATCAGAAGATCTTGTACAAATTCGATGAAATCGTAAAACTTGTGACTTAATTATACCAGAAAAGGTATGTTTTGGGTGAAAGGAGCTCTTGTGCAAGAGCTGATGAGTATCAGTTTCTTTGAAATACACTTTAATATCCAGTTTATTTGTTTGACTGTGGTATCGAGAAAGTCTATGCTTTTGTCACTCACGTTTGCGGTTAGTTTGATAGAAGGATGGTGGTTGTTGAGAATTTCAAAGAATTCCCAAAACTGTTCGATAGAATAAGTCCAAACCATAAAAATGTCATCCAAAAAGCGTAAAAAAGTGGGTCAAATGGACAGAGGGGCAACACCTCACGTTCCCACTCTGCCATGAAAAGGTTTGCGTACAAAGGGGCGAATCGTTTGCCCATTGCTGTCCCTGAAGTTTGTAAATATGTTTTACCATTAAATGTGAAATCGTTTCGACTAAGACAAATCTCTAAAAGCTGTAGAATTGCATCGTCGGGTCTGTTTGGATCTGGGTTTTTATTAAAAGCTTTACGAACTGCCGTTAAACCAGTAGTGTTATCGATATTGGTATACATAGAAGAAACGTTGATAGAAATTAAAATAGCATTAGAGGGAACTCGAAGATTTTTTATTTTATTGACAAAATCGGTTGTGTCTTTAAGGTAGGCGCGATGTTGGCATGCTAGAGGTAGTAAGAAATGATCAATGTATTCTGACACTGCATATGACTCACTACCACAGTCAGATATAATCGGGCGGCTTTTAGGGATTTTATTCGAGATAAACCACTCCTTGGTTGGATTCTTATGGATTTTAGGCAAAGTGTACAAATGTCTCTTGCAATCAGGTTTGGCAGACAGATAGTCATATTGTTTCTGTTTGAGATAACTAGTTTTGACTAAATCGGCAAGAATATTATTAATCATGTTAGCAGTTTCTTTGAAAATTGGTTTCGGTAAAATGGCATAATGTTTAGGATTATTCAGTTGATTCTCTGCTTCTGAAACGTAATCCTCCCTATTCAGAATGACACAACATGAACCTTTATCACTCTTTTTAATAACAATGCTATAGTCTTTCTTAAGTAAGTTTAACGCTTCACGTTCCACTCGTGTGAGATTAGGCTTTTCGTGTGTTATGGAAAGGTTCACTGTTTGGCTATTCATACTCGCAAATGCTTTCAATATTTCAGGATGGATGGCGGCCTGAGGGGGTGTCCACGTGGATTTAGGAATAAACATTGTTCTAGCACCACGTGGGGGGTGGTTTCGAAAAAAATATGTGCAGCTAAGATTTCGTTGAAATCGTTCAATGGATGGTCGGAGATAATTCAAGTTAGCTATCTTTGGTGTAGGAATAAACTTAAGTCCACGGTCTAAGATTGAATGCTGAAGGGGTGTGAGAATTTTGCGGCTCAAGTTAACTACAGTTTGGCCTAGCGGTGGCCTCTCAGTATTTTTATCCCCAGTAATTAGTTTAAAGACTTACTCGATGCTTGAAGCTGGTGTATCCAAAACAAATAGATGCTGTTTGCTGTTTCTGGAGACCAATGAAGATTATCAACTGGTTCGAATTCTTCTTCGTAGGGTGGTAAGATTGTTGCGCTGTTGATACT